TTTTGAAACTTCAAATTTGTTTTAACTTTCGGTTAAATGTCAGTGAACGAATTTTCCAAAGACTATGTTTGCGTTATGCGAACTGATCAACGTAACGCTACATTTCGAGCATTGACGAATTGCGTCAATGTTCAAAACGTTGCACACCGTGTTGCACAGCAGCACAATGGAGCGCATTCTCGTATTCCTCGGAAAGCACGAAAGCGACGCAATATGCACGGGGGACCGTGTAACTGCCGCATTTCATTCCGTGAAATCGTTGGTGCCACCGGCTGTCAATGCTGTCAGTCATGAGAATGCGTCGTAATTAAAAAGAAGAAAAAAAGAAAGAAGAGAGCGTGGGGAAAGAAAACAAGGGAGGGGGGGGGGGGGAAGTAGAGAAAAAGCGAAGAGCAAGAAAAATGCGCACACGAACACCAGAAACTACGTGAAACACGCGAACTGAGCTGTGAACGAAAGCAGAATAAACGAACGAACGATCAAGCGTAACTGAAACGTAGGCTAAATCGGACTATCTTTGTACATAAATGTAGTTGAACAGAGACACGTTGTTTCCACGTTGATCCTCGTATACTTTCTTCCTTCCTGTTGCGATTAACTAGCTTTCAGATCGGCGGACTGGAAAAATTCTTAACGAGGGCGGTTCGTAAAGGGATCGCGAGGAAATACAGACCTAACACGCGTAGGATAGTGAAAACGGCGGTTCGCGGACAGCCGCTCGAAAATCGCGAACGTTTTGCGATCTTTGCGTCTTTGAGCGCGGTTAATCGACGACAATTCGCACGAAAATTGAATGAAACAACAGCAAAAAGAAAAAAAGGAAACGGGGGAAAAAAAGAGGAAGACGATGGATGACGAAAAAAAATGTGGAAAAGAGTCTCGGAAGAAAACCGGATTCTCTGATCGATTTATACGAATATTACCACGTTATTACTACGTATTGGTCATTTATTATTGTTATTATTACGAATGATTATTATGATTATTACGGATTATTATGATTATTATGATGAATAACGGTAGCATTTAAACGGTTTTAACTCTCAGATACTTTATTAAGATCTTTACCAATATTAACTAGCGGGCTGTCGCCGTCTAACTGTTACGTAAAATGACCAAAAAATTACTAAATAATGTACTACCTATTTATCTACATAGGATGATCTAGCGACCACGAGTTAAGGGGAAACAGTCTTTTTTAATGAGCTCTCTGTCTATCTCTATCTCTCTTTTTCTATCTCTCTCTCTCTCTCTCTCTCTCTCTCTCTCTTTCCTTCTTTCTCTTTCTCTGTCTCTGTTTCTTTCTTTCTCTCACTCACACTCTTTCTTTCTTCCTCTTTTTCAATCTATCTATCTATTTATCTATTTCCCTACTTCTCTTACTATTTACCATTGACAGGAGACACACAAGATGAAGCAAGGTAGAACTGTTTGTTGCAATTACTACTATCATTTTTAAAAAAATCATTGCACTCATCTATCACATGATCATCGCGTCGTCGAATATTTATACGAGTGAATTTACTCTGCGTCCAACACATGATTGACTCGTACCACTGAAAACTACTACTACTTTTAGTACTTTTCTGATAAATATTGATAAATGCATCATGTAGAAGTGATTTTATTTAATCCAAACGATCTACGTTGATCAACGTTAGGCTCTAACATGTGAAGATTATTAATAGATGGTGTGTTGAATGGATGGTGCATTAAAAGAGAGGTTTATACTATCGCTCAATTGCTTACAACGAATCGATTTTATGAGCTAGCTTCATAATGACTTTTTTCACTCGTGATCAATTTCTATCATATTCGTTCTATCGTCTTTGATATTATTTAAAGTTCCTTCGGGTATCCTCGTTTTTTTAACGCAAAATAAAAAACAATTGAAGAGCCACCGTGACTCTTAACTGCATCAAACAATATAAATACAAAGCAAATTGAATAAATTTCAACATATTTGGAAACATTCGATTTAATTTATCACGATAAATGTGTTACCAGGAAATTTTGTTTGCTGAAATTTATCCAACTTTGTTGCACAATTTAGTACATTCTTCAGCGTACCTTGTCGTCGATGATTTTAGAAACAGCCAAAATAGTTTTGTTCCACGGTAACTGTGCCGATGATTTAATCAATGGCTGCGGCATTTTCGTTCACGATGCGATTCGATTACATTCATGTAAATCTGTTGCGAGTGCCGTTGACGTTGCAATTGATTGCGTAAGTCCAGGGAGTTTCGTTCGCAGACAATCTGCACAGAACACGGAGATCGCTGAAACAAAGCGTCGAAAGATCTCAGTTCCGCAACAATTGCAAATTCAATCAGATGGAAAACACAAGAAGCTACTTTGTGAGATTCTATTTGCTGATAAACTATTCGCGGAGCAATGCATGTATGTAGCTGCAACGCTTGAGAATTTCACGATAATCGTGATAATAAAGGTATCGGACAAAAATCTCCAAAGGTTTTCAATTGCTTTTTTTTTTTTTTTTTTTTTTTTTTTTTTTTTTGTTTGTTTTTAACAACTTTTATGAAACTTCAACAATCAAGTTTAGAGAAACTGAGATAATAAAATTTTTTGATTATTTTTTTTTTCTTTTTACAGATTCCTACTCACTGTAACAAATAAAGAAACACTGTAATTTATTAAAAACAAAAATCTCAACGTAAGAATATACACAAACTTCATGGTACGAATAAAAATTTGTTCATCCAATTTTTCCTCGACCATTCTTTTCATGTTAGATAACATGTGAAGAGATATCCTATGTTGCTTTTAAGGTTTCTGGCCTGGCGAATGAGCAGCTTTTCGAAGTATAGGACTGAACAAGCTACATCTTCTGTGTGTCCTCTCAGTGTGACAGCCCATCGGAAGAGGTCTAGATTACGAAAGAGTAACCCACAGGGTGTCGCGTTAACACTTGTACATTGCTGGACGATGGCTGGCGATGAAAAAGCATGATGTTTGCTCAACTGCGAAAAAAATTGTAAATCTTTGGGTCGTTCATTTCCCACATATTCGGTATATCCGCTGAATTTAGAGGAGCTGAGAGAAATCTATATTTCTTAGTAATTTTCTATCAAGAATTGTTCACAAAATACATCGTTGTTATTCGAGCTATCGATCGTGAAAAGAGAAAACAAAAAAAAGCGAAGCTAGGTAGAAACTTTTTAGAAGAGGAAATACATTAGTGGACGATACTTGAAAGGGCCAGCGATATTTGTAGCCAAATATAATTATAATATCGAGTTTATCGAGTGAATGAAGATCGATTAAAAATTAAACAATACAATCGCACCGCCTGTACTCTAAACAGAAATCTAGGCTTTCGTTTCGGACTTTCCTTTTTCCCATCGTTCAATTTCCCCATTGTGTTTCAGAGAATTCTTTGTACCTAGTTACTATGACTGAGTAAACTTTAGAAGCTTTACCATTGGAAAATGGACGATTCACATATAGAATGTACACATCGTGTGTGAATGAAACCGAGATCGATTGAACGAAAAAGTATGGTAACTCTGTATTCCATAGACGTAAAGCGTGCAATGATGCAGAGATAATTTCGAGAAATATTGCATCGGTGACTTGAAAGATAATTAAAATTAGAATTTTGTTCAGTGGAATCGAAACGTTTAAATTCAATTTTCCAGCGATTAATGGTAGATGTGTATTCATGTGATAATATTTAAAGTATTTGTGTTACAATTTTATAATTGAAATGTAAAATTGGATATTTATTCAATTTGTTACTGTTAACTCTTTTTTTCTTTTTAATCTTTACACAACTCGATCATTCTGCTCTGTTAATTATAAAATGTACTGTACATTTATAACTTTATTCGTAATTGTAATAGTAATTTAATTTGTAGTTCGTTTGCCTAATCACCGATTCAATAAACGCGGATGATAGCGTTCGTTCTACAAAGGGAGTCATAAGAAGGAATTTATAAATTTATCTGATCGGAGAAAAGCAATGTAATCCTGAATCTGATTAACGCGAGAATGGACAAACGCTATCGTCGTGCGACGAATAAATTAAAAAATGAAAAAAAAGAAACAATTCCCACGCAACGAATCTTGAAAGTAGTCAATATCTAATCAATTCCGAAAATACCGTAGCGATAGACAATTTAAAGGAAGAAAAAAAAAAAATCAAGAAAAAAGCGAAAAAAAGAGAAACCAGTGTAAATGAGTAATGCCAATAACGTTGAATGAATAAAAAAATGGAAAAAACAGACGAGAACTTATAAAGTGAACGATGTTCAAGCGAATGATGAAGAATCTTCCATTAGATTGAATATCATTATCGAGCATCGATTGTAAAATTAAGAAGAAAATAAAACAAACCGGTGTTGTTATTCCGAAACATACGAGTGGCGATTAAACGATGCGAGGTGTGTGGTAATATTATATAATTAAATATAGCGATGAGAAGACAAAGAAAAAAAAAATGTAGCACATATTTTTAAAGAGAAAAAATGAAGAAATGAACAAAAACGTTCTGAGAGAGTGAAACATCGAGCGGACACACGCGTATGGTGCTAATTACGGCACTAATAAGTTAAAGAACGAGAAAGAATAAACCGATGAATTTCGATGATCCTTGTTAATCATAGGCGAATTAATTAATATCAAGTGAAGCACCAGTCGATAAATCTCTAATCGTAGCGTGTATCTCCGAAGAATGTTGCTAAAAAAAAAAAAAAAAAAGAACGATCTTCGATCCTTTACGAAGGGATAGAAGTATAATGACTAACAATGTTTATGAACCAATGCATTTTCATGCCGAAAAACAAATAAAATTTGCAAGTCGAATATCGATGTCTTTTACTTCGATGTATCCTTTATCTTTCCCAAGAAAAAACTAAAGAGATCAAGACTGATTTACGTGATGATAAAGAATATTCCAAAGTATATACTTGGATCGACAAACAATTCAAAATAGACGTTAATGTGTTACTATGTAACAATTGGGATGGTTTAACACAGAATTAATATTTCGATGTCACATGTTTATTTTTAATTTCGAGATAAAAATGCAATATTCTAGTTATCCTTTTTAACTGTCATTCATAATATATGTACATATTCGAAGTTCGAACATCCAATAGGACTGGAACGTTAAACAATACTTTGCGCTTCATGTCATCATCGATACACTTGAATATCGTATAGATTGCAATGTGGAATCATTTAAGATTAGGAAGAGCTATCATATGAATAAAAATATATATCTTCTTTTATCAAAGAAATTCTACAAACACGAATGTACACAATTACAGTTATACAATTACGGATTTTATACAGATTTTGTACAAAGCGTTGCACGATACATTCTTACAGAATAACATCGAAGACACAAAGTGGAAGAATTATCTTCGGTTCTTGTCAGTCGGAAATTATATTCTCCAAGTGAGAAGTTTGTGGTGGTTCTTTATTCGTAGTTCCTCGCTCTGTTACACTTGCTGATTTAACGGTATCCGTTTTATTGCTTGCGACATCCACTCCTTTCGACCAAGAACAGCTTCTTCTGCCGGGAGATTTAGGCATAGACCAGGTACTGCTACGAGATCTTCTCTTAGGCGATGTACTGCGAGATTTAGCTCTTGTAATTTTCACCTTTGATACTGATCTTGCCCGTCTGCGTTTATAGTGATGTTTGCTGTTATTTCGAGAATTAGAGCGACTCCTCGAACGAGATTTCTTATTAGATCGCGATCGTCGCGATCGAGACCTCACTCTAGTACCAGATTTCGATCTTGACTTCGATCTTCCACGTCGTCTTTTCGAACGAGATCTACTTTTGCTTCTGCTCCGTCTTCTACTTCGAGACCTCGATCCAGCTTTCAATCTCGATCTTGAACGTGATTTTGATCTCGATTTGCCTCGCGATTTAGATCTCGATTTCGAACGAGATCTCGATCTCGATCTCGATCTCGATCTCGATCTCGATCTTGATCTTGACCTCGATCTGTAGCTCGATTTTGACCTTGATCTTGATCTAGATCTAGATCTAGATCTGCTGAATGACCTTTTACGACTACGTGATCGTGAACTCCTATAGTCGAAAGAATGATAATCCTGACCTACTAAATGAGCAAAATATTTGTAATACTGCTCGTTATACAAATGAGGATTGAACGTATGCAACGTATGAGGATTTCCAGTATTATGCCACAAAAATCCTCTACTTCGTCCTCGTAAACGACCACCCCTAGGCATACCTCTTGGTAAACTCGGATAAATCACAGGCAGGGCCGCATCGTAATACCATGGTTGTGGAAAACGTGGATAAAGAGTTGGATAAGAAAGAGATTCCAAGGACGAAGGTTGTGGAAAACGTGCATAAGGAAGAGATTTCAAGGGTGAAGACGCTGAAAAAAAAAAACAGAATTAATTAGCAATTTTAATTTGATTTTCCCTATCATTCATAGTTACCTGTTGATGATGATGGAACATTTTGTTTCAGAACACTTTTTAATTTTTTTGTTTGTTCTTCCGCGCCTGATTCATTACTTTGACTTGCAGAATTTTCGGAATCTTTACCCTTTTTTCGTTTCTTCTGAAATTAGTTTATACAATTAGAAAAACAAAAGAAAAAAATAGGAATAAAAAACAAATACGTTACCTTTTTCTTTTTCTCCTTTTTCGATTTTTTCTTTTTTGATTTTTTGGTTTTTTTATCCTTCTTCCCATCTTTCGAATCCTCTTCTGAACTCAATATTTCAACAGTGCCATCTACTTTATTGCCCTTTTTCTCTTCTTTCTTTGTATCCACGTTTGTCACTTCATCTATTTTAATCTCATTGTTCTCCACTTTTATCTTGACATGGAAAACGAATTTTAGTCGATTCTACTCTCACGAAAGAATAACGAAATTTTCAGCGAATTTTTTACCTTTATCCTATCGAATAATTCATCTAACAGACGAATACTTTCAAGCTGCCTTTGTGCTTTGATTAGTTTTTGACCTTCCCTGGCAATCTTCATAGACACTTTATCCTCTTCTTTCTTTCGAAATATCGTTATAGCTTTACGTTTACGTTTCTCTTCTCGTTTTTTCCGTCTATTTTCTTTAGCTATCGCATCAGCTTCTTCTTTCTTCCTGGTAGAAATAATTAACGAAATATTACATGTATTTGAATTTACATTCACCCGTTACAAATACTATTGCTAGTTACTTTAATTCTTCACGACGTTTCTCTTCGGCTTCTTCTTTTCTTCGAAGTCGTTCTGCTGCTAATGTATCCTGTGCTATGAGGCGTTTTCTTTCGAATTCTCTATGCGCGACAGAACTATCGCTCATGTGTTTTGTTTTATCAAATGTAATCTACATAAAATAATGCAAATAGAAAAAAAACCATGTCCTTTACTTTATTATTACAATCTATACAATTTGCATATAAATGTCTAAATCGCGAGCGCACCTTAATAGAAGCAGTGAATGCCTTATCTAGTTCCTTTTTAAGTAGTTTCATGCCACGTAATGCATCCATGGCTCTAACAAAATCCATATACTCGACATACTGAATATATGCGTCAAAAAATATGCCATCTTCATAACTAAATTTATTTATATTTGTACCAAGACGCATTCTGGATCTGTAAGGATCAGCAGCAGGTACGTCAATTCTTCTTAATACTCCCCACTTTTTGAAGATTTTATTAATCAAAGATTCGCTGGGCATGGTTGCATTATCTTCTATGAACCACTTAACAGGCAAGCCTGTTATGTGTATAGTATCTGGCCTTTCTCCAGGCTTCAATTCATTCATATGTTTGGCATCTCTGAAGTAAGAATCCCAACTATGTCTGGTGGGAAACTCATCCTTCGCCTCTGCTGCGCGAACTTTTAACACATTGGGAAATCCAGACAAATTCAAACGCTGGGAGTCCAATCGTGCAAGGACACGTTGTAGTCTGCATCTGTCTTGCAAGTCCCCCTCCAATCTGATAAATTCCAATGTACTCTTCGCTACCTTCAGAGATGCAAACTCGTCCGGTAATATAAGGGCACGAATCTTCTCCATTACTTCCCATGTTGATATTGTTTTTCCTGTTTATATCGCAGTTAATTTTCTGTAAAAACCTACTGTGCTAAAAATGTTGCATACATAGTTATAGAGATTTACATGGAATTTGAAACAATAACTTGTTGTTTCCTGCTACAAAAAATCATGATTAATTAGTGCATTTCAATCAGTAAATCAGAACATAAATTTGAACACAAACATAATTGTAATCGTTCTCAGTAAATGAAAAAAGAAAATGTAGACAAAGACAAGATACGTATCATTCGTGATCACTTTACCTGGAACTTTCAATTGAGGAAGATTAACAGAAACATTTATCTTTGCAACTGGTTTTAAGTAAAGCGCTCGTTGCGTGTACAGTGGCACGATATCACTTAAATCCCTACAGCTTCGAAATTGGTTAACAACCTCACTACTGGAATTTTCACCTACCTTCTTACCATCGCTCATTATTAACCTATACTTTCTACACGACAATGGAACGCGTTATGAAATTGTGGAATACAATAAACGGAAAGCTACGGCTAGTCTCAAATATCTATCTTACGATAGGTAGGTAAACGCTAGCGAGATGAAAACTACTCAGTAGAGAGGTTGTGTATCCATTCGAAACGAAGAAAGAATCTCCCTCCACAATTCTTCACTTCAACGTTTATTAACGGCTTGTTCACTGCGTGACTCGATTCACTTTTCCATTTACCGACTTAAATGGAATCATATCTCAGCCTCCACGTTCTATCAAGCTCCGCCGATCGAACACTGTAAATATGGACAATACTCCAGAACACACACGGGACACATTGTGCGATGGTACGGCCCAAATCGTTGCGTTCCATATCGCGTATATATACATTAGACGTCTAGGGAATTTTAGAACGTTTGGACGTTGCCTAGAGAATTTTGTTTCGCCACCACCAGGTGGAACTAGCCGCGCGATTGGACGATGCACTAGAGACACGCACCAAGCGCCATTTGTTTGGACGCTCAATTTTCGGTCAGTTGCATTCGGAAAGTGCGGCAAATGGTTGTGAGATTGGAGGGAAAAGTGACGCGCGTTTCACCTGTGAGAAGCACGCGTACGTGATTGCAAAGGAACAAGGAATTACGATACAGGAAACGTATGCAAAAGCATGATGCGTGAAAAATCATGCATGTCGAATTATCATCGTAGACTGAATAATCGCCTGTCGTGCACATAAAACTCGTGTTATTTACGGTCGTGAAGCTTTAAGAATCGATTGTTAATTATAAAGGGGAAACGAAAACGAAAGAGCACAATGTCCCTGAGCGCGAGCGCGGAGAATTTATCGTCGGAAGGACAAGTAAGTGAACCATACTAATTAATACACTTCTCCATAACTCGCGTGACTCATACTATTCTATCATTATTGTGCACGATTAATTCACTTTTATCCGTTTCACTTTTTACTGCTTGTTAGCTCTGCATAATTACTTGAAGACTTCCGCAGATAATAAAAAATATATCGGGACGGAAATAAGAAAGTATTAGTTGTTATGTGTATAAGTCTTGTTGCTCAACTTATATATATTTACGTATCACTCAATGAATTTATTTTTATGATCATGAGTTTATCATTCGTTTCGAATTACTGATAAAAGTGAATTGAAATTGTTAGCACGAATACTTGAATTCTATTTATGGTCAATTTATTGTAGTTGCTTGTCCAGCCACTCCCATAATCATTCCTTTCTTCTTTTTTTTTTTTAATAAAACCATATTGTAATAATGCATTGGACATTTTGTAATTGTTCCTTTTAATTATTGACATATGATTCTAATATATTTGATTTGATGAAAGTCTTGTTTTCTGATTTTCTGATAATAGACAAGTGTGTGACAACCGAAATTCTTTGTATTTGACAGAATAGTGAAAGGTGGAATATGTGCCTTGAACTGGCTCTGGAGGGTGAGCGTCTATGCAAGGCTGGAGATTGTAAGTCGGGGGTGGCATTCTTTCAAGCTGCAATTCAAGCTGGCACAGATGATTTAAGAATATTAAGTGCAATCTACAGCCAATTAGGGAATGCTTACTTTTATCTTGGGGACTACGTGAAAGCAATGCAGTATCATAAATTAGACTTGACACTTGCGCGCAACATGGGAGATAAATTAGGAGAAGCTAAATCTAGTGGAAACTTGGGAAATACATTGAAAGTAATGGGCAAATTTGACGAAGCTATGATCTGCTGTAAAAGACACTTGGAGATTTCAAGAGAAATTGGAGACAAGGTTTGTACATGATCAGAGTATCATATCTAATTTCTATTGGTTATTAAAAAAGATAATTTTTTACGTAGCTAAGTGAAGGAAGAGCTTTATACAATTTAGGGAATGTTTATCATGCTAAAGGCAAACAAGCCGGCAGAGTAGGTCATCAAGATCCTGGAGAATTTTCTGAGGATGTCAGACAATGTTTACAACAAGCTGTACACTATTATGAGTAAGAAGATAGAAATATTAATTCTTTCAAACTGCAATAGAAACTAGTGTGCATAAATCACACAAAATTTCTTTTGTAGAGAAAACTTAGAATTGATGAAGGAATTGGAAGATTCTGCTGCTCAGGGTAGAGCTTGTGGAAATTTAGGGAATACATTTTACCTGCTTGGTGATTTTCAACAAGCAATTTATTATCACAATGAAAGACTAAAAATTGCCAGGGAATTTGGTGATAAAGCAGCTGAAAGGAGAGCAAACAGTAATTTAGGAAATTCACATATATTTCTTGGTGAATTTGAGAAGGCTGCACAACATTATAAGTGTGTATTTACATTGCATTTCTTCTTTCAAATAAATTAATGTAAGTAAATATTGATCATTATATTTTAGGAGAACTCTAGTCCTTGCACAAGAGTTAGGTGATAGAGAAGTAGAAGCACAAGCATGCTATTCCCTAGGAAATACATATACTCTATTGAGAGATTATCCAACCGCGATAGAGTACCACTTGTGGCATCTTGAAATAGCACAACAGCTTAAGGATCGTGTAGGTGAAGGCCGTGCTTGTTGGTCTTTGGGCAATGCATATGCTGCAATGGGTAACCATGAGAAAGCGCTACATTATGCCAATCTGCATCTGAACATTTCCAAAGAATTGGAAGATCCGATGGGACAAGCTACTGCACAAATGAATGTTGATGATTTACAAAAAATTCTGGGATTGGAGAAAGGACAGCAAGAAAATAACAAAGAAAATATTGCACAAAAACTATCGACCAATGCAGGCTCAAATGTTAATATATCTTCGCCATGTAGATATAGACTTAGACGACAAAGTATGGATAATCTAGATCTCATTAAGGTAATTTGATTATTTAATATAATTTTATCCTGTATATCACAATATTGAGTCACAGTCTTGACAGAACTATCATTTTTATTTAGCTCACACCGGATGCAAAATTAAAAGAGCAAGCTGAATCTCAAACAGATAAAAGTAATAACGCGACACCGCAACTTACTCAGAAGGAAGAAGATAGTTTCTTTGATCTTTTGTCTCGTTTTCAATCTGGTAGAATGGACGATCAACGCTGTGCATTGAATATAAATCGCAATTCGAAATTTAAAACAATAACACCTGAAATATGCGAATCCGATGATAAGTACGTTTTTTTTTTTTTTTTTTTTTTTTTATATAGACGACATTATTCTATTTACTATTAATATATAATATATTAAAATAAATTACTTTCATTTTCAGAGATGGAGAAGACTTACTAGAACTGATTGCTGGAATGCAGAGTAAAAGAATGGACGAGCAACGAGTGACGCTGCCTTATTTGCCTGGCCTAAACAGTAATCAAGATTCCGATGATTCGTTTATTGAAATGTTGGTTAGATGTCAAGTACGTATCACACGATCATATATTTTTCTTTCATTAAACTTGTATCAAACATTAAATAAACCGTGTATATAGGGTTCGCGTTTAGAAGATCAGCGAAGTCCTTTACCAGCAGCATCAACGGTACACGATGCTGAAGAGGAACATAACCAAAGATCTAATGGAACTACTCAAGCAGGATCAACTGTGCCTGAAGAGGATCTTTTTGCTTTAATACAAAGACTTCAGGCGGGGCGAATGGAAGATCAAAGAGCCTCTGGTCCTGGCAAAGCTTGTTAAAACATTAATATGCATAATTGTGGAAAATTTTATGGTAATGAATCTGCTTAAAATCCTACAGCTCGTTCCATGCAATTCCTTGTTGTCTTCTTGTCATTTACAAAACGTTCAGTGCTTAATTTATGCATTCTGCTCGCAGCCTATGAAATCATTGTACAAGTGTGATTCAGACGTTAGGAAATTGCAAGGTACTATTATACCGTCCGCTAACATTGGTTCTCTACCTTAAACTTAGAACAGCGTAACGATATGATACACTGCGACTATATACAACATACATACTGATTTTACTGAACTGAATACGCCTTTTTTTAAACTGCTTGAGTATTCATAGTGTAGTGCCAAATTCTAAATGAGCCTATGTTGTTCGTGTAACCAATCAGAAAATGTTGCACGACATTAAATAGAAAATAATTTTATAGTAATATTTTTGAAGTACAAGATTATTTCTTTCATAGCGGCAATTAGAAGCTAATTGAATAATTCACAGTAAAAAAGAAAAGAAAAAATTGATGACATTATGAACACTGCCAGGTTGAGGGTATGAATCATGCAAATATTTCTTCAAAGAACTTAAAATGTTAGTCACGAGCACGGAACGATAAAGATTTGTCAACCCTGGCATTATTTTTTTTATATCCGGTATTGTATAATTTATTTAATCATTGACTATTTTCGGGAATCGCAAAGTAGGATGTGATGAAATTGGTGCCAAAAACAATTGATCCGTTGAAATCTAAATATAAAATATAAAAAAAGAAAAGACGAAATTGTTGACCCTCGTTGTTTATCTATTTTTCTGTATTTACTGTTTTCCCTATTGTACATTGATGAATGTATATGAATTAATTGACGCTCGCAATACGTACAATTATAATAAGTTGTAATTAATATTACTACTTCTATTAATTATGATATTGTAACCAGCTTCCGTCGTTCATGTAAACTCTGGACATTCCAAGTAGACAGAATGTTAATGTATCTCTGGATAGACTGGATCGAACATGATCGACCATAATTCTAATAGTACCTAACCAAAAAGATTGTATATTGATATTCTACAAAACGCTGAAACTTTCAAACAAACTTAATTGCGCATAAGAGAATTCGATTTATAGCAATTCTCAGACTTACAATTTGATACGATCCATTGTATCAATCTGATCTCGTTGTGTTCTAAGAATTTTAAAAGGACAAATAGTTAGATAACACATTCATTAAAGAAGGAGCATATTCCAACATTCCAATGAATAATTCATACTGTATTTATAACCCTTAAAGATATATTACCGATAAATAATTTAAATTAATGTAAATCCTACACGTTGTTTATCTATGGATACGCGATAGGGAAGTTATTAGAAAGAAAACGCTTCGGTCAATGATCTGAAAGAAAGAATAAGAAGATTGGAACAATGCCTTAATAAGTTTATGCAATTCTATCGACCTATGGTGCGTGTATGTGTATTTTGAGGCTAAATCGTTTCATGCCTACTTATACATGCGTACTAAAATCTAAACTTAACTATGGAACCGACTATAAAACTAAACCGAGCCTGGTCAAATGACTATAAAACTATATTCAAGTGTGGAGGAAGAAACGACTAGCGTTGTGTAAAAGAAAAGACGAGAACTAATTGTAATTCCTGTATGTATGAATTGTAGCATTATTTTTCTTGTTGTTAAGGAATCTATGTAACTACGTGAATCTAAAACGAGAAAAGTGAGTTAAAAATAAGAAAAAAAAATATACTACGTTGTAATGGTATAAACGTACAAGCTCATCGTCCACAACTGTCCTCATTGAAAGAATCAAAGTACGTAGCTATTGATTCGTTACTGAGTTTATATAATATAATAACGAGAGATCGATAATACTATTTTTTTGTAGACGTTATATTTGTACTACATTCTTGTACCACATATCTTTAATATATGTTTAGTTTCGTAAGGTTCGCGACAGCGAACTAGGTACTAACTGAGATAATACAGTTTCTTTAAATTGTAATATTTTTTATGAAGTCTTTTTTTGACGTAAGTTCACATCTCATCTTCATATAGTTATGTATAATACAGAGATTCAATAAATATATATATACTTTTTCCAGAAATTCGAGCATTTAATTATTGTTTTATCTTCTCTGAACTTTTTTACTTTTCATGTAAAAACGATCGTCTTTTACTGAAAGAAAGAGTCTCCAAATATGTCTGTAATGTCCAAAAAACCTTCAGAAACTGTGTTTGAAGCCTCTTTTACAGACGACTCAACGATATGGCCAGAATGGTCCGATGCAGCATTAAATAAAGAAAATTGGGCGTATCCCAAAAGTAATTAGTAAGAAAAACTTTTCTTTCGTAACTTTATTTGCTGTAATTTTATATTGATTCTAGATGGACCAGATGGCTCGTTTCATGACACGCAGCTCGTTCAATTACCACCGTCTTTAATACCCTATGAATGGATCAGAGCAAAGAATTTAGACAATCGAAACGTACATAAAAATTTCATTTCTTAATTTTACTTGAATTCTGCTCCATAAAAAATTAATTATTTAAGTCATATATATGACTTAAATTTAGGGACAATTGACAATGTTTACCGATGATCCCAAGAGCTTAGATCTCATCATCAACAACAAACATTTATTACACAGTCAGGTAATTAATTAAGATATGCCTGAATCTTTTGTCAAATTTCCAAAGTGATATATATCATTTTTTTCTCCGTTCGTAATTTAAATTAAATATATCAATTAAACCTTAGAGGGAACAACAAATCATAAAGTGTAATAAAATTATACTTTTAGAAAGATGATAAAAATACTTGAGTCCCTTTCTCAGAAACTAAATTTGATTAATTCCACATTTTTACTCATATTATCTAAGTAAGTACATAATTAATCTCAAAAAGAAGATTCACTTTCCATAAATTTATTTATCACGAGAAAACGCTTAGAACTGTCATATTCCTATGCTGACTTCATTCTTGTGGAATTAATCAGCATGATTTCTGGGCGATCTTTCTTTCTGTCCTCTAAATATAAATGAACAACCAAGAAATGGAGTGTTTACTTACCACAAAACTGTTGACGATTGTTTGAGATTAATGTGGAACAATCGATCGGACTATAAACGCCGATCATGAAGCAGCTTCTGTTCGCAAGTGAACGCGATGTAATTAAGAAACGATTTCCAGTTCGCGCGGTGGTTTATTTCCGCGCTAATAAATCTCCAGTACTGCGGTCGGGATGGACTGGAAATAAGTGGCGAGAGCGGCAATTTTATTTGGAATGGGCGGCATCATTCTTGGCGGGGCTGGATGAATGTGTATTCGATGAACAAAGCTGGCAAAGGTGTACAACATCGGCCTGTCATAAATCTAAACGGTACGATCTCAACATTTTATTAATCGCTTCCTATTTGCTTCATCTTTTCTCTCTTTCTTGTTAAATGCAAATTACCGGCGTTATCCATGATTCAATTAAATCTCAACCTCCATTATTATCACTTCATCGTCAAATTTGTGTTCGTAGAAGATTTTTTCAAAGATTTTTATTATATCGAAAAAAAAGGCAAATACGTCGTGAGATTATATTTTCTGGGAGCCTGGCGCCGGATTCTCGTGGACGACATGATACCAGTTAACGAGGAAAAGACACCACTTTTACCTAGAACTGGTAACGATTTCGAATTGTGGCCCATGCTTCTTGCAAAGGCCTTGTTGAAATTGTGCTCCTTGACATGGACGGACTGCTATGAAATCGTGGATTTCCATCCTGTTGCTTGCTTAACTGGTAAAGTAATGTTGAACAATTGTCTTCCTGAAATAACAGGGTAAAATTTGATTATAATAAAAACTGTAAATCTTTCGACAAATATATCCTTCGTTTGAATAAATTAGGACGAGAGACATAAAAATATACATGTTATCTTATTTCTCTGTCGTACATGTGTTATTTTTCTCTTATTGGACGTAGGATGGGTTTGTTTGCGACTGGAGGTGGGATATCTATCGCCGCAAGATAAATGGGACTTTCTGAGAGAGTACGCGGATCACTTCGAATGGGAAGTGACGGAAGTCACGGAGCAGAAAAGTCAGGGTTAGTCGCGTATTTTTGTAGTTTTGATCCTTCATAAAGAGAGAACCTTCGAGGTCTAGGAAAAGTAAAGGGGGGAAATTATCTAAAGAAACGGCGAAGACGAAAAGAACCAAGGATACGGATGGCACGAAGAGGACCAAAGAGACGAAAAAATCCACGAAAACTGATCGATCGACAAAATCGGAGAAGCTCAAAGCTTTGATCAAACCACGACCGGTTACCCTGTTCCTCGGTTTAGAAGACATGAAACAAGTTTCGCCAGATATTGTTCCGGAAATGGCACCTTGTTGGGATCATTTTGTTTATATAGTTCAGTCGCGTGGCATTCCCTTGGATTTGAAAGACGTACGACACACAGCCTTTAAGAAGTTAGGGATATTAAATATGAATGACACTTTTCGAAATAAATAAGAAATAAATAATAGGTGAAGCCTCCGTTGGCAAGATGGAAGCTCTATCGTTGGTTAAAATGGGCCATCAACGAGGGAACAATCGATCCAGTCGAGTACTTCGTACCGATCCGATCGCTGAAAGTCGTCAGCCCTCTGAGAAAATGCGAGGAGAGCGTAATTAACAAGTACAGTGCGACAACTATGGAGGAAGATTTTCGAGACGATGAAACAAGTCAGAAAGACAAGTCTCGTGAAACGCCGAAGGAACAGAAGAAAACCTCGACAGAATCGCCGGAGGATATTAGTTTCTGGGCAGATTTCAATCAAATGGAACCGTACGTGAAAGACGTTCACTTCTTTTACAAACTCGATTACTTCCGATACAGCGCGAAATTGTCGGATCGATTTCCAAGACCGAGACAGTCGAACGACGAAAAATCGGAAACTAACAAGAGAGACAGTAAGAAAGGTAGCAGAAAAAGTTCGCCGTCCAAAGCGGCGGCCGAGAGTTCAGAGTTCATCGACGCTTACAGCTGGCCCCGGAAAATGTCGAAAACTAGGAACGAGCCTCTGTACGTCTTCGCCGATTCGTTGGAAGAAAAATTCTTTCTCATAGAGTTCTCGACGTTCCAAGTGTCCGTCGAGACGTTCGAAAACGACGACGATCACGCTGCGGCCCCAACGATTAAATTGAAGGGACACAAGGATTGTTTAAGCGTGGAGCAGCACTGCTGGTTTCGCAGACCGGAGAGGTCCGACTGCTTCGTCTGCGTTTCGACCGCCGGGACAAAGTCAACCGTGATGGAACTGGATCGTGGGAGGCACCTCTTGCGAGTTTACTGTCACTCAGAATCCGATTGCTTCGTATCCATCTCATCGGATACGGTTTTCCACGTGGGTGACAGACGAAGGATGTATCAACTGATGCGCACAGAGTCCGATACCGTCGATCAGATGGTGAGACGCATCAGCATCTCCGTCAGTAGAGCCTATCAAGCGTTCGGCACTGAGAATTACTCGGGGGCCTTGAAGATTTATTACGGCAGTTACTTGCCACCGATCGAAGACCGAAAGAAGGGGTGTAAGACGTTCTACGATCAAATACACGGCTATTTCGTCGACGAACAGGTACAATTAATTAAGAAAATCATGCCCGAAGACGAGGTCCCGACTGTTCTACGAGCTCTGAGAATATTCTTTCTGAATCACACTGTCGGCTTAGATCGCTTCAGCGCGATCTCGAGGCTTTCGAAGAACTCACGAGAACTGAACGTAGGAGGAAGTTTGACGGTGGATGAAAACTACGCCGTTCGGCATAACGCTGCATTTGTTATTCAAGCGTTCTTCAAAATGATCACTATCAGGAAATATTTAAGGATACACAACCCCCGTCACGAACAGCACGAGCAAGTTTCGCGGAATTTGATGAAAGTTGCGGAGTTGTATAATTACAATAAGGGAGAGTCGTTAGCCAATCAAGTGCTGAGGAATATTTTGAAGCATCATGATAAATTGTACGACGTGTACCAGTGCTCCAGGGACTTCGAACACGTCTTGCAAGCGCAAGAATTGAAAGGGACGTTGACAAACGTCACGGCAAATCAGTGGCTGCCTGTTGTAAGACTCGCGATGAATCCTTCGTTCTCGGAGACAGTCCTCGCCAGTATAGACTTGTTCGTTAATCTACCAAAATACAGCGTACGCGTGTTTAAGAACGAGACAGGCCAAGAGGTACTGCGACTGGTGAACAACGTGGTCCCAACTCGTTACGAGCATGCGAAACTCGGTTACACTCTCTTCTGTTACGGCTGGAGCGATGATCAAACACTGAAAGAGCTACCTTGGTCCTTAAACATAATCACGGTGAAAGGTCAACCCGTGTTTCATTTTCTGATGGACGAAGCAACGTTTCTTACGATCAACGTGCCCCCTTTATTGGCCATAGAAGAATTATCCAACAGTTACATTCCCAATGCGGGGAACTACGTCTCCAAGTGGATCGTTCGAATAGCGAAACCCAGCGTGGTGTCGTTTAGACTGAGAGTATCGTACGAGAAAGTAAGGATTAGCTTGAGAGTCACAGACGAAGAGGGTCGGGTGTTGTCGCAGGCAAAAGATACTTGCATAGTCATTTTACCGATGGTGTATCTGGATCTCCGACGAAGATCTACTGAGATTACACCCGAAAGGAACGAGATCGACGATGAAAATTCCAGTGAAGAAAAAATCAATAGCAACGAAGATAGAAGCAAGGATGATCTACGTTACACGATTTATCACGTGGAAGCTTTGGTGCTTGAAAACAGCTGGCCACTGACTAGAACAGAATGGAGTCTTGTGTCAGAGTTCAAGGTGAAACCAACAGGCTCCGTCGTTAAAACAAAAATGTCACCTTACTCGAACGTGGGAAGACTATCAAAGAACGAATCGTTCAGATCGAAGAAAGTTTCGAGGTTACTTGTCCAAAGTGTTCCAGCTCTCGAGTCGCCATATTGGGTTCTTCAAGTGGTTACTGATTCTGGGAGTGGACTGGAGGTACTGGACTTGCACAACGTAGTTTTTACATTTCACAATCTCTCAATAGCAGTCGAACGTTTGTTTTCCATTCCAAGCTCGGAAAAATCACCCTTTGACAATTTGCTCTAAGACAGATCTCTCGATTATTTTTACTCGTGTTTACTTTCAAAATATGTACGCGATACGTGTGTATTCAATGTAAATCATCCATGATTACGATTACATTTCTGACGGGCAGATATTCCAAGACAGGACGAAGGAGATTGAGATTGCGAGGATGAAGGAAGCCTGGGCGAAAGAGAACCCTGACAGCCTGCAACGTGGAAGGGAGCTCCGTGAAGCTTTCATAAAGAAACATGAAATCAAGTCCAAATCGTCGATAGATTCGCCCGAGAAGAAAGTCCCGAGTCATCCCGAGAAATCGTTGAGGAGAGACGGCCAGCGTTTGTCGGTCGGGACATCGGAGATTTCAATGGCTCATTTGGAGGAGAGGACGTTGAAAACGCCTGCGTCTCTTCATAAACTTCCTCCTCTGGATCTGGCGGTGTACGAGGTCAGAGAGAAGGAGGAGGACAAACCACGGTTGAAGACAGAATCGGACGAGGAAATACTGAGGAACATCCGCACGATGAACATCGTCTACGCTCAAGATGATTACGCGCACTTTCTCGAGGAACTGGAGAATCTGTACAGGCGGCAGAAGTATCAGTATGAAACGTTGTACGGAAGATATTTAGATGAATTTCTCGACAGAAGATCGATACTGGAAGACGTGTACGAAGCTCGAAAGGCTTACATCGATAGCATGAGGCCTGCTTCCAGCATCAAATCTACCAAGAAGAGCGTCAAGAGCAAGAAATCTGAAACTTAGAGTAATTAATTTAGTTTAATTCTGCTTTAGTAATCTAATGATGTAATTGTGATAGAGTAAATGTCTGCAACAAATTACATTGGTAAGAAAAGTTTTCGAATAAAATGGAAATGTACGAATAAAATAATCGCGAAGATTTTATGACCAGGTACTCTCGCGATTGTCTTGCAAGTAATAAATTGCATGTAACAAACTCACAAACAGTGAGTTGCAACACTCTTCTCTTAGGAGAACTTCGGCAATACTTATTTTATCTGGGACGTTTCAAAAAAATTATATCTTATATCAGGCAATTTGAAGCCGCTGGACTTGAAATATCTTGTTAAATCTTCTCGTTGATCGAATCACTTGAATTCAAGTAACTGGACTGATCTACGTGAGACTTGAGATACTTAAACATTATTTTAAAGAAAGTACCGTCTCTTAAAAACTTGAGAAGTATTTACCAACGTTAGTATTAACATATATACGACACTCGCTTGCAAGAAAATTGTCTCTAATTGCCGCATGAACCTTGTGCTTGCTAATCGCTAGAACCACCAGCGTCGCGCATATTCCGGTGCAGCGACATTCCTCGCGCGGATTCCGCCAGCTTCGAGTCGTCCTCGAAACGAATGATAATGAAACGTATTACGTTCTGAACAGAAGTGTGGACGACGAGGACGACGATAAAATTTGCATTTTGTCCTCAGCTGGAAATCGATCACTAGAGGTGTGCAAACACTCGACATTTGGAATTCTGATCGAGAGAAGAATCAGCCTGATTGTGTCAAGTAATCTCATTCGGATTTGCATTGAACTGTCAGATCGTGAGGAATCGGACATTTCCAGCTGAGAATTTATCGGGTAAAATTTTTAATTTGTAATAAAAAGGATACGTTTATATACTTGTACACTTTTCATTACAATCAAACATCTCAAACTATATAGAAAATATTCATTTCTATGCAACGAGTGCGGTGAAGTACCTCACAAGAGATTGAAGTTGTAAAAAAAATATTCGGATAAAATTTGTTTGATCAATTTGACTAATTTCCATTGAAATTTGCAAATCTTTAAAAATGATACATAAATAAAGATTAGCGTTCTTCGTTCTTCACTCATTAGGTACGTATTTATTTCAATTGTTCGCCGATTAGATTTAATTCCATCATTAAATCACTCGAACAACCTCGCCTGAATAAATATTCGAGTGAACCGATTCAAAGTGTTGTTTTCAGCTACTTACCACGGTTGTGGCGAGTGCAGGTGGAACTCGAACAGAAGTCGACGTTTGCATACCGGCGACTGGTAGCCTGCGTGCATCGCGTCGACGGGGCACCTTTTAATGACACGCTCCCCGCTCCCCTCTGGAAAAGAAAAGCACGCTGATCCGTTCCGTTCATTTTTCATCCGGGACCAGTCCCCGTCGTCTAGCAAGATTATTACAAAACTGCGCGGGGAAGAGGTCTAGGTTAAGCGCAAGAACAGGTACGCGCAGAGCTGCTCGATCTTATCCACCGTGTGGTTAATGTGCAGTTCCTTCCCTTTTCATGTTTATATATATTCCGTACATATATTATTATTAATATTATTATTATTATTATTATTATTTTTAATGCAATACTCGGCTGGTTACATTTTTAATGTAATAGTCAGTCGGTCGACTTATTTTCATTGGAAAAATCGATCGAGATGGGGTACAACGAAAAAGCGAGTCGAAGACGTTTTGCTCGGTTCTCTGTGGAGCAAGTTTTTATTCGTGACGTGGTAAAAAAGGTGGCAGACGCTGATTGCGCGCGTGCAGTTTGTTTCTTGTTGGAACGTAGTGATTTATCTAAGAAGACAATGTTTAGATGTACATGCCTATAAATTATCCTGATTTAGTCGTCACTGTCGAATCGCTGAAAACGATGGGTTCCACGCTTGTATTTATGCATTGGAACTATTAGAACTTGACAATTTTTAGAATTGTAGGTTCGATTGCCTACATTGCCGCACGCGTGTACTTCTTTCAACTGATAATGACAATAATCAACAACAGTGTGATGGTACTATCTGTTCCTGTAACGAGGTGCTAAGTATTATTAGATAATACCCAATGACACAGTCGATCAAGAATTCCTATAAATAGCAACGGTATTATACTGCGGCGCGGCTTCGTCAATTAAAACAGTTCAAGCGGATATTCCGCAGAATTCTATTATTTTTAACTTCGATCAGAATCCCACGATACCATTAAGATATCACTCCGAGAGGGCATTAAATGATTCATTAAACTCGACTCCCGTTGAAGGGAATCATACATACGCGAAGATATTCATTAAAACATTTACAAAATACGCTGCACACACAGCACGTTGATGCAACGTGCGCGTTGATTGCAGACGCATCCACGTAGCAGGCTATTCACCGGCATTCACGCGAGTAGCAGCACGTAGCCGTTTGCTCGGCAATCCTCTGATCAGTGTCGATCGTGTTTGTTGCTCGATCTCGCGTGTCGCCGAACAAATTAACGACCATGGTGGCACGACGATGCTTCTGCAACTACAGCGGCCACCTTGTAAATATCCAACTCGCGTGCACACTGGCTCACTGGCTTATGCTCCGATAAGATAAGATCGAGATTTACAAACGGCTGCGTGATAACGTCTATTTGTACGTGGATTGACTTAATGGATAATATCGGCGAACGTGATCGATATCTGTGATCGTAGATGAATTCCAATTGAATCTGGAGATGCGCGCGAAGAACCTGCCGCGAAATCGATCTTCTCCTTAGAAATATGAGAAATAAGAGTCGATCTTTTCGAGATTAAATTGGATTTTCTGAAAGCGCGAGGTTATACTTTCTAAATCGAAGGGATGTGCAGGTTGAGTTCAGTGGTTACTCCGCGTCATCGTGACTTTTAGTTTGGAATCTCTGGCCGTTTACAACCATCGTCTCGGAACTTTCCTCGAAGAAATTCCTTCCTCGTCCGTGAATTCTTCATCGAATTCCGTGATTCTACCTTGCTAAAAAAAAAATTGCAAGATTTGCGTTGTTTCGCGTGTTAATCGACTCTAACAAAATGACATCAAAGACATCAATAAATTTAACATCGTCAACGAAACAATAAAATAATTTTCTATTTTCCCTTTGTTCGATGACATTTTCAACAAATAAAAATGCTACTGACACTCGAAGAAAATTTTCGCACGTGAAATGAAACTGTGAAACCTCATTGGACGTCAATAATCAGAAAAAATATTATTATTATACTATATTATTATTATAAAATATTATTATTATTATACTATACTATATTATTATACTATATTATTATTATTATAATACTATACTATATTATTATACTATATTATTATTATTACTACACTATACTATATTATTATACTATATTATTATTATTATTATACTATACTATATTATTATACTATATTACTATATTACTATATTATACTATACTACTATATTACTATATTATATTATATTATATTATTATTATATAAATATTATTATACTAATATTCCGTGGGAAATAATTCGAAGAAAGTATTCTAAATTTCAATTTTTTTTTAAATCACGGAACGTTGTGAAACGTTGTGAACGTTTGCAACTCCATAAAGCTGCATTTTCGCGGCAAATGGAGCGTTCGGCATTGTCCTCGGTAAAGACTCGCCGTGTTCGTGCGATCGCTCGTTTCTCGTTTTACGGCCGTTAAACGGACCACTGAACGGGCTAGGAAAAAAGGAAAAGAGTAAAAAAAGAAAGGGAGGAGAATGAACGCGGTCGTTAATCATCGTTGATCTCGCTGGAGAGTCGCGACTCGTATTAGGAACGGCCGAACAATTTTCATCGTTGTCGCTCAAAATCGTGGTCAACGATCGGAAAATCGCTTTTTACGAGCCGCCGTTATCAGAAATTTCTCGCTGCTAGAAGCCGCAAAAGTTTATCTCGCGATTTATGCGTCCTCGTTTAGGTCTCTCTGTGTCCTCATGAGCGCGCAGGCTATCTCGCTTTTTACACATATACTTGAAATTTAGAATGAAACGTACAAAATTCTTGTGCTTCTGTCTGTCACGCTACTTAACTTACGTTACTTAACTTGGGACTTAATTTTAGGAATCTTAAATTTGGAAATCTCAGTCACGGCGAATGTGCAAAGTACAAAATAAAATTAAAAACACAAAACGAAATTAAATTTTGAGAATTGAATACATTTTTAATATAAATTACCGTGAATCGATGATAGTTGAATAAAAGATACGTCATGTATTTGTATATTTTATCTTTTGCAAATCTCTGTGTTGCACCAACTTCCGTAATCAACGCAAAATATAACGTCTCTCGCTGTGAAAAATTCGATCTTGAAAGATTACACTGAAATTACTACGTACTTTCTTCCACGTGCCTCTTTCGCGTAGAGACAGCTCAGAAGCTGCTTAGAATCGCAAGATCACAAACGAACAGTACAACGACGAAAATAAGGAAGTTGCGCTTCATCTGGAAGTTAACTTTTAACCTCTGTGTCAAGGAAACTCTCTGGCTCTGCGTGCCATTGTTATTGTCGCCACCCGCATATAACTCCATTCGAATGGGATTACGTAACGACGTAATAAAAAGGACGCCTGCGAGATGATGTCAGGAGGATTGGATTTCTTTTTTTATGCGCTACAATTTAGTTAGCGAAAGAATATACTTCGTCTGGTTGCATATCGGATAAATCGTCGTGTAATAAAAATAGCTATACGCCATTTTGTTTCATTTCTTTTCTCTTCGTTCGAATATCGCAAACGACACGTCAGCTAACAATGGATGTTTTTAATCGAACTGGCCGGAAGTGATGGCTTCTTAACACGGCTTATTAGATCAGAACGCAGAGGCCAATGTCGTTGATATTTCTCAATCGAAGTTGGAGCGTGATAACGTTCATTATTTGTCGAAGCTTCCGAAACTCTGATCAATAATGCCCATCATATCTTTAAAATGCGATTTTATCGATTCTAAAGTTGGTTTTGTTTTGTTTTTTTATTAACCCTATAATAATCTAGAACTTTCATCCTTATTCAGAAAACAAAAAAAAGAAAGAAAATTAATGTTCTTTCTATCCTGTTAAAAAATCAGATTGAATTTCAATTCCAAATTCCAAATGTTCTTATTATCTATTTAGAACTCATCTCGCTTTTTTTCATTTTTTCGAGAAATTTAATTGCAAAGAAAGATACCTCTCGATATCTGTTTAGATCGAAAATCCACCTAATTTTTAATCTTTTTTCACTCTCTGAGAAATCTAATTACGAAACACTGTTCCACAAAAGTACCAGAGAGAGAAACATCTGATCTTCGTGTCTTGAGCTTGTCTCAACGAATCTCAAAGCTTCCCTTCCACACGAAATGTCTCTCTTCTTTCGTTCCCCTGTGAATCCAATTATGAAACACCGTCACACACTATTTCCTCAAAAAAAAAAAAAAAAGAAGGAAAAGCAGTAAAACCAAAGAAACATCTAATTTCTGCTCGTCTCAAGCACTTTCCAACGCGCTCCAAAGCCTCCCCTGTCGTACGAGATCAGTCAATTGACGTACGACGATCCACCTAAGCTCGTCACTTTGTCCGATCTCAAAATAAAAATCGTCCGCGTAATCTCTCCTTCCGTCTAAAGTCTTCGAGGCCCGTTAGAGGAAACGACGAAACTGTCGAACACTCAAGTTTCAAATGCTCGTGAACGAAGAAATGTTCTTTTCACAATTATCATTTCGCTTCTCGTGCAGAAAGTTCGTTCGAGAAATCGTCCCTCTCGAACGAAAATTTTCCAATGGATGTAACCAACGCGGCACGATCGCGTATGAAAGAAAAAAAAGAAAAAAATTCCCCAAGAGATACATGCGCCACTCGCTCGAACAGTCACGCCGCACGTAATTACGTACGCGTGCGTGTGTTGAGGCTCGCTTCACGCGTGCCCGTACACGCGTGCCGCGCGCTGCAGCGCACATTTGTGAACGCGTTGACAGGGACGAGATGAAAAGAAAAAAAAAAAAAAAAAAGAGGAAAAGAAAAAATGAGACGGGGTGGGATCTATCGGTGGTTCTCTTCTTGGTGTTTTCTCCCGGCCGTCAGCTGGACGTGGCCGCGAGCAGGGCGAGGAGGGAAAGGACGTGCGTGCGTGGAGGGAACGAGAGACGAGAAGACGAGGGAAGAGTAGTCTCTCTTCTCTCTGCGGATGAGCCCTCTCTCGGTGCGGCTCGTTCACAATCTGCTACTCCAGTCTCGCGTCGAGTCCCGTCGCCGCATCTTTTCGGGGCTCTTATCCTTCGTCGCTCCTCTTCGGCTTCCCGGGTTCTTCGCGGAAACCGAACGTTCAATACCAACGGTGAAGTGCGGTCTGAACTGTCTTTTCTTCTTTTTTTAATATCTCTCTCACTCTCTGTCAAATTTTCTTGAACTTAATGCAATTTCCTGCAGTTGGTTGGCAACAGACCAATTAGTCTGTGGAATCTTTTACTCGACAAAGTCTGAGATTCGAACTCGTTCAAGGAAATCGGAGGGGGTGAATTCGAAATCGTCGCGGGGTGAAAAAAGAATCGTCGAGTGAACTGCAACGAGTTGAAAGGACGAGACTGGGATCGAAGCCTGAGAGTGGATTTCGTTGGAGAATCGGTTGTTCTCGTGGTGGAGTAATGTTGATGGTTTCGTTGACAGGTATGGCGCTAAGTTGAGATTAATTAGAAAGTTCGTAATAAGGATGCTGAGTGGAAGGTATGCTCGTTGTTGGAAGTTTCTTGGATCTGCTCGTTTCGTGCGCGATCCAATTATCTTTTGGATTACTAGTTAAGAGCGTAATGGAAGATACTCTCTGATACTGAAGTCGCGTACCAAGGCGAACATAAGTGTACGTTAATTTCGTCGAGAGGTTCTGTGAAGATGTCCTTTGAAATTTCGAGAAAGAATTTATCAAGTGTGGAGAAGCTGTTCATTCAGTGAAATTTTTCGCAACAAAATCATTATTTGGCACTTTACGTATTTTACATGTAATATCAATAATAATTTATGATTCCGTCGATTGATATTATTTTTCGATCACAGGGGCATTTGACGATTGACCAAGAATTTAAAATAGAATTTAGAATAGCAGATCGTTCATTTGATTTTTCTGCTCGTTTGTCTATTAACTTTCACGTAATTTATTAAATACGCGTAGGAAACTTTTTAGCACGCAATACGAAGATAACGATCAAAGAAAAGTTCAAAGTATAACACATAGATCGTTCACTCCTCCTTTCATTCTATTATTAAGTTTACATAATTTACGACAGAAGCCATGAAACAGACTTATCTTCTAAGCTCGTGCAAGCACAATAATTAACAATTAGCAAAGAACGTAATCGTAATGGCCTGATGCCGATTTGTTATTCCATTCTCCTCGAGCAAATAAACGATTAATTGACGCGTTTATCAGTTCGCTTACCTCGTTCTCCTCCGTAATAGAACGTGCGAACCAGACCGATCTCTTTTTTACGCGAGTTTTGCGCGAGCGTACCAGGCTTTATGGCACTTTAATGATAGCCTCTGCCTCGGTCCGCTTTTACGTTATGATAACGAGTGAAAGCGGGAGTGTGTGTCTCGCCACGGCAAAATTTCCGAGGAACGTGTGGCGTCGACTCGAGTCGTCTCCTTCCTTCTTTTATTTTTTTTCTTTTGTCTTTTTTTTCTCGCCAACGATACAGGGTCCTTTCAGGCTAGAACGAGATCTCGATTAATAAACGAACGCTGGAAGTGTGGAATCCCAGCAGTGGAGATTCTGCGGGTTTCCTTTCCAATGATGATTAATTGTACAACATATTAAAGTGTGATTTCGTACACGAGATTGAACGCTTTGCGAGTTCGGAAATTCGTGCCCAGAACGAATAACTCGCCACGTATACAACGAAGGAAACACCGCAACGGGAATAATTAATTAAATTTTTGTCGTATCGGGCAACGCTCGACCGTGCTCGTTCCGAGAATATTAAACGGCCTGAAAATATGAATTTCGTAGTTCTAGGCTGTTCGTTTTGACGAAGAAACAACTATTGTGAATATTTATATCAGAAGATAATTGCATCTATCTCATCGTACTAATTTGGTGTTTCCGGAAAGGCGTCACTGTCAGCGCGGAATCGCGACAATTATCGCCCGTTGTCTCTCCGCCCGGTTTACGTGGCGAGGTTCTCGCTGTTCTCGCGAGACCAGTAACGAAACATAATTTTCACGAGCGTGTCTAGTTTCGCTGTTCTTCCCGTCAACCTACATCCACGTGACTAGTAATACGGAAATACGATTGTAATATCGTTTAATTTCGCAACCCTTTCAATTGTTAAGGAATGCAGAATGACACGGAAAATTCAGGCATAGCTAGATCGAAGCTGTGGCTGTTCGTTGGTTGAGAAGAAAGATTTTCTTTACGGAGAGATTTTTTTTTTTTACGGTTCAAGGGACTTCCAACGGAACGACAATTTATTTGCGCCTCCAAACTTTACTTAACCCGCTAAGGAGGACCGACTTCCACTTTCACAGAGTCATCATATCGAAATTCATTCTTCGACAATTTCGTACTTTCAGAGTTTCAAAGTTTCGTAAAATTAATTGAAAGAAAAGGAAAGGGAGTTACAAATGAAACATTGTCCTTAACGGGTTAACGATCAAACACAACGATCAAGGATTACTGGAAAGTTTCAAAGCGAGCAATTCCGCTTGCTCCGACTTTCGAAACTTTTGTTGAAACACCACGAACGTACAAACGAATCTGAAAGATAGATTTCCACGCAGGGATTTTTCCACCCCAAAGATCATCGGCGAATCGAGTTAGAAAATCTGCCCTGAGGAACGGAGACGCGTCTGTTACGGAATTCCGAGCGCGTCAGATTACCGAGTATCCAGCCGATTGGGAACCATGATCGTGAAACCGATCGTGGTGTCGATCGCGAGCCAGCGTTGAAATCGTTCGAGACAGAGAGATAGATAGATAGATCGAGAGAGAGAGGGAGAGAGAAAGATCCCGAAGAAACTTCGTTTCCGCGTGTGATTTCGTCGACTGATCATGAGACGGGCGTACGAGTGACACGCAAGACGTTGGATCGTTGAACAGTTTTCTCGTTTCGACAAGACGTGAGAGTCGACGACGACGAAGAAAATGTCGAACGTAGCGTTGATCATCGCTACCTGGTTGTTGCTGCTGCTCCACGTTCCACGAGACGTGTCCAGCACGGGACAACGATACACTGCCAGCCCGACCCAGGATCTGGATAACACTCTGCAATCGGTGCCGCCTCTCGGGTGAGTATCCAGTTATAGAGCATCCGCGAAACCGTGAAACGCGAACCGGCCAATCTCTGGGTGCCTTTCGATCCGGGATATCGATCGAACGATCGATCGCGATCGCGGGACGCGGTAATTTTCGTGAGCTGCGTGATCACTAGGGATACACGCCGCGCTCTTGCACTGAGCCGTGAAATTTTCGAGTAAAGGAAGAGATATTTTTTTATGGTTGATATTTTGATTCGCTCGAGAATAGGGGAAAAGAATTTCTTTTAAACTCGGTTTCTTTTTGATTCGTATTCGACGCCCTATATTGTCCCTATTTGTAGATATTAGAAGCGTGCGAGAACCCGAAATATCGGATCTGGATGAGTATTCGAAAATTTCGGGATTCCCGAAAGAGTTGGGATTTGGGAAAGGATTGGGAACGAGCTTAAATAATTCGTTAAAGCCTTCAACTGTATCGAAAGGTCGCACATCTAGAACCATCATTCGAGCAATTCCTTCTGTTATATCTTTTGGTTTAACAATCTTTCGCGTATCATTTTGTACATGCGACAAATTTTATATCGATTCAGTTTCTTTTCTAGCACATATACTAATGTTTGAATGCATATGCTTCAAGTGGCGTAATAAACCAGTAGTATTTGCTTACCTAATTTTAAATTCATGGTGACCATGCGCGCATCCCGCCTTTGTATCGTCTTTGTCTTGAAAATGTTCCCAAACAGAGCTTCTCTCTACCTTCTTCCTTTGCACGATATCTTCTGCACTACTTCCTGCTACCACAACTTTACTCTCACTATCACTCGACATTAGTTTTAAAGATTTTCAGTCTTTATTAAATTCACACAGATTTTGAAATATACGTCTGATCTCCCCGAGTTTCTCCGCGATACTGCTCAACAGCGTACATAATGTCCAAGTGCTAAGCACGCAGTCACACGTTCGTATACATCAGGTCACACGATTCTTAGAAACCGTGTTTCCAATAATTTCACTGGCAGAAGAAATTGGACTGTGTATTTATATACCACATTCGAGAAACGGTAGCCGGATTCTCGAAATTTTCGGGAATCCCGAACCATCGGATTCCTGATATTTTCGAGTTTTCGCACACCCCTAATAGATACGTGTAATTTTTATGAAACGTTTCAGTTACGATTACTAATCACAATAGTATGCCGTGCGTTTTAAAATTTTCAAGCGATCGAGAAGTATTTTTACATTTGCTCTTCTCTTTCATTTGTTGGTTTGTTCGACGGAAGAAAAGAATTCTCTCTAAGGATGTTAATTCTCTCTTAACTCTTTCATTGTTCAAGTCGGATATACTCGTCACTTAAAAATAATTAAGCACACAGATGCACGATCTGAAAATGAAACGAAACAAAGAACAAGAAGTCAGAAGTTTATAGCTCCGTTTCTTGTTGAATTTTTCTATCTTTCAGTAGCTTCGTAACGTTTCGTATGTTCACAAAGAGTGTGAAAGAATCGTTCGACGTTACGTGAAACATTTCGTTGATCACGTCGAAATCACGCTTGACATTTTAACCCACGTATACCCCATTAGGGGAGTCATAATCGAATTCCCACGCGGCAAGTGGCAAACGTCTGTCAGATCCCGACATTCCAGACATGGCAATGCCAATGATAAAGCTGTTCTCAGCCCGTTTCTATTTTTATTTGACGAACGCAGAGAACGCGAACGACGTAGCACCAGGAAAGAGAACTTGGCGCTCCAGTTACTTTTTTTTTCCAATCGAATTACGTAATATCGCGGGTCTTTTTAGCCGGCGTAATATTTATCACGTCCTCTCCCCTTCCTCTCCCGCTGGTGTTTCTTTCTGCGGAAACCATTCCGAGCATTCCTCTGTTGAAAACCACAGTTCTCCTGGTTTGTCGTAAGAATCACGAATCAAGTATATCTCCAAGTAAATTTGCAGCGTGGCAAGTCTAGCGAAAAACACGATTCAGAATTGGATTTCATTGAATTGGAAATCTCGTTCACTCGCGAGATCAAGGAAAGTGCAAAGATCAGTTCGAAAGAGACGGATCAGTTGAAAGGAACCTAGCAAAATACGCGGAGATAGAAGGCCGCTGCTCGTTATCAGTGATAAACGCCGGATCTTGATGCAATCCCGAAATAAAATGTGGCAAGCATGCAGTTGTGCAATTGAAACGCTTGCCGCACGCGGCTAATTGTTTTACGTGGAACATTCCAAAAAAACGAAACCTCACTCCAGAAATCGTCACCGAAAATTTACGATCGAAATTACGTCGGAAATTGAACGAAAGAAGTCTATTGAGTGTAAAATCAAAGTCACAGAATTCCAACTAACAATCGTTTGGCATTTCCGCTCAAATTACAGAGTCATCAAAAGAAGAGTCATCGCTTAATTCGAAAAAATTAAGAAATGTATTGACTGTAAAATCAAAGTCACAGAAATTCCAATTAGTAATCGTTTGGCAATTCAAGTCAAATTACAGAAGAAAAATTATCACTTGACTCGAAGAAGTTAAATGAATGTAAAATCAAAGTCACCAAATTCCAATTAAGAATCGCTTGGCACATACGAATCGAATTACAGAGCAAGAAAAAAATTATCACTTGTAGTTTTATGTTTTATGTTTTCTTTTCGAATGGGAAATCAAAGCGGATTAGAAGCGGAGGAAAGATAACGCAGTGTCAAAAATAAACGACCAGGGCGGCGCAGTCGGATCGGCAAGGTTTCCTGGATTAACCGGCAAAGAGCCGAACTAATTACATACACGACGAATGAAAACTTGTCTCTCGGTGCTCTCAGCGCGATGCTGAAGCTTGAAACGCGGCGTGACGAAACCCGACGCAAGACGACGCGTTCTCAGGCGTCGATCTGCGAAAAGCGTTTCCGGCTTGAAACACTCCGTGGTCAATTGGGCCTAATGGATGGATAATAATGGCCCATTATCCGTTTCGACTCGCTTGGAATTGCCGCGGAACGCGAGAAATCGCGCGATACGCGGCGAGGCCTTGCCTTCTGACGACGCGAGCCAGAAGAGGCAAGGAAAAAAAATGTGGAGGAAAAATGGGGATTGAAGGGCGAATGTAACGCGTAACGTAACGCGTAGATAACCCAATTGAAGGAGTTATCGCCGGCGAGTTTGCGTTGCGAGACTCTCGACAAAATCCGCGATTTCGCCGAAATTGTTTGAATCGACTGATTGTTTGAAGACTGAAGTTTTCTCTTTACAAGGAATCCCTGAAACTTGTACGATTTTTTTTTTTTTTTCTTAATTTGATAGCGTTGAATATTGGGATTAAGCAACAAACATTCAAGAAATCTTAACATTTAGTTCGATAAAATGATGAAAAGAAAATCGTATCATTAGTCTTCACGACTGTTATAGATCCAATCATGGAAAAAAGATTTTTATGTGTGAATTTTTGTAATTGTCGAGAAACAAATATCCTCATTTTTTGATGTAAAAAAATCATCTTTAAAAAAAAAAAAGCCAACTCACACTCAAAGTGGTGGCTTCGCGTTTTAAAATGAGATCCGCGTTTTACAAAATTATATCAATTGAAATTATCAGCAATTTTTCATTGTCATTGACAGAATTATGCTCACTGTGTACTGTACGTGTTATGTGTATGAAACACTTTCAAATTTCATTAGCACCATGACGAGTGCCAACAACGAGTTCATGCAGATTCTTATTAAAATCAATTTCTATAAATAGACGACGTGATGAAATAGAATCTAAACATTGTAACTTCAACTTCGTACATACGTCTTTCTTACTCAAAACCACCGAGTACGCGCGTATATTTCCGCCAACCGCAGGAACGGAAGGAAAAATCAGAAAAATCCGTCATTTTGACAGATTCGATCGTTCTGGCGTTAACCAGAAACTCTGCTCGCTGCCGTAAAAAGGCCGTCAACCGCGATTCTTGCGCGTTCTTGAAAAATGGAACGTCTTCCTGATTCCTCTATAACACGATCCTGCATAGAAGAAACGGTGGGCACGAATAAAAGGAAGGTATCGATCGGTGATCGGAATGCTGGCGCAAACACACATGCAAACACACAGAGAGAGAGAGAGAGAAGCGAGGTGAGAGAAAGAAAGAGAGAAAGAGAGTCAGTGACGGTTTATTATACAAAAGCCTCCAACTGACGGTATTAGCCAGGCCCCTGCGGAAAAATATTGGACATTAGCGAGGGTATCGTATAGCTGGTAGCAGAGGAACTAGTTTGTTACGGTAAAAGATTCTTGGCAGCTCGTTGCACGCGATAGCGGGCACCGCGCTGGGATCTCGAGCCGGTGAATCTCGAATGCGGGGAAATAAGTAAAATCGAAATACACCGGCGGAGTCTCGTGATTTCACTTAATACGGGACATTAGCCGAGGCGACAACGTCAATCCAGTCGGTGGTTTTACGAACGAGGTTATTGCCCATTCGGCGAAAAGAAATTCAGCTCATTGTCGACGTTTGAATATTCCGCCGGTTCTAACCAGCGCGGAGAAAGTTCTGGCATTGTTTATTGTAGCCTAATTGAAGCGCTTCCTGGAAGATGATATTTATAGTAAATATTAGATTTAAACGTAAATTTATGGTAAATATTAGATTGTAATATATAATGTTCATGTATCATAAGTTATAGATTGTAATATATAATGTTTATGTATCATAAGTTATAATATAATATATTAGATTATAATATTTTACCCTATTCGAAGAGAAAGTTCTAGAAAAAAAGTTTGGGTTAGGTTCGAAGAAAGTTTCTGTAGAGGAAAGGTCTGTAGATCTATGGTAAGTATTAAATATTATATTACATATCATTGATCGTAATATAGTATTAGATTATAATATTATAATATTAATATTATTAATTATATTATATTGCATATTATTGATTATACATACAATATGATATTGGACTACAATAGTAGGACATTTCCTACTATTGTAGTCCAATTCCTATTCTTGGAAGAATACGTCGAGTAGATTTCAAGTACTAAGAAGCGGAAAATTGGAGAAGTAATAACTGTTTTATTAATATTTTATTTACATCCCTGAGTATTTTCATTATTATGTACACAAAAGAACAAAAGTCAACCTGTTAATATTGCTCGGTGATTAAGACATTTCGACTTGTTAGATCCATAAATATAAGTGCTCCGAGTCGATTCCAATCTATCAAATTTTATCGACAATCGTTTGAAACAAAATACGTTTTATCTCATCGCATCAAGCAAAAGTTACAATTGGCCATTGAATTCTGAAATTGCTTATCGCTTATCTCCTGCCTGTGATCTTCGTATAATTATACTGATAGAACTAACGCAGTAGAACTAACGATCGGTCGTAAAATTCCTCCACGTCGAATTATTCGGCTGAATCGTCGAGTCGAATTCGCGTCCGTCAGCGTTGATGGCGCGACCCTGAGAGGGAAGGCCACCGAAAATCGAGCAAATCGGCCAGCTTAGGCAGCTGAACGTCACGCTCGAGCAACTTTTTCATTAATAAAGGCGCATTAGCCGGTATCTTGTCACGGCCAGTTAGAAACACGTTTCACGTGACTCCACCTAACTCATTGACGCTCAACTGCGCCCACCATTAATACCGTCACATCAATTATCATTCCTCGGATGAAACGCTTCTCGAGCACTCAATTAAAGCGTAGGAAGAAAAAGGACTTATCGATCGGATAATATCCAACTTGCTTTCGAGTTTGATTCTCGTTTTGGTTCGATCCGCTATTCACGGAGTCACTTGCATCGTCGAACATTATCGATTACTATC